TTTTTAAAGTGATTGGAAATTAGGTCTCCCATTATTGTTGCAGTATAACACCCTACCTACTTAGTTTTTCTGAATGTAACTATCCACTTGTAAAAGCAGTTTTAAGCATTAAATGAGAAATATTGTGAAAGCACTTTGCAAATTCCAAATCATTGTAGAAATGTGTGGCATTATTAGGCTGGCAATAATTAATGGATTATTAAAAAATATTAAGGGGGAAATTGGTTCAACTCAGGTTTGCATCCTACATTTGTAGATTATTTTCCCCAATTTTGAATTTTTTTAATATTTCATCAATTCCACACTAAATATTAAAGAAATTTGGAAACAAATGTCATTATTAAATAAACCTTAGATTGAGGACACAGAGTCCTCATGCTGTTGTTAATTAAAGAACAATGAATGAAACTCTAACAAAACAGCTTCCACATAAGGGTTGCCATTTAACGTAAGGTCTTCCTTATGGTAAAGCAATTCAGCTACGTCATGATGACCAAAAAAAAAAATCACTGCAGTACCCCATAATATGAAGAAATTTTAAAAAATCACTGCAAATATAAAGTTAAAAGGTTGTCAAAAGTCAAAAAATCACTTACAACTCATCTGATGGGTATTGTTTCCTATTTTTTTTTCTTCCATTGTTGGGAAATAAGTCATGACTTTAAAATGTAGCCTTCTGTTGCAGACTAAAATTACTTATTGAATAAAAGTACTCTGTATTGATAGGTCTGAAGCTTTCCAAAGATATACAACCTTATTAGTCAACATTTCCTAACTACCCAGTTCATGACAAGTAATTCATTTTAGCATATTCTTTTACAGAGGTGAAAATTATTTTTTTCTCTCTCTGTAAATTGTACCACTCTAGATTGATTAAAAAAAAAAATGAGTGTGTATTCGTTTGCTGGCAAAATAGAACAGCAAATAAGGAATAGACCAGTGAACCCAGGTGGATGACCCATGTCTGTTGGGCTATGTTTTATAGTTTCCCATGAACAGTTTGGAAGCTTCAGAAGACTCATCACAGAAACCTGCGACATGCTCTGCTCAGAAAGTTGTATGCTCCAAAGTTTGTTCCTTGGGTAATGTTACTCTACCACAACATGATTTGGTGGTCAATTATTATAGTTTGAGAAATGTTTCATACTGTATATAACTTTTCTTGGACTTTCAAATGTACATTAACATATTAAACACAGAGAAGTTCTGCCATACGCCTGTTTAACTTTGTAACAATTTTCCATGACTCTTCTTATTTTCCATGGAACACTGGCCTGGAATAATGCTGCTATGAGCCTATTCAATTGACTATTTTCCACTCATGAAGTACCAGTTTGACTATGTTGAATTTAGATATAACTGTCAATCAATGTCTTGTAGGGCTGAGATGATCAAAAAGCTATAAAGTAGGTTTGTGGTCCAAATAATCTATGGAGAAGTGATGGTCCATGATAAAGAAGTAAGATTTTCATATAGCTAAATTTATTCAATTTGAAGGGCTGACATTTATTCTGAATCCTTCCTTTTTTTTTTTTTTTAATGAAATGGTGACTGGAAATTTTAGTTTATGCAAGTATGAACTCCATCATGAAGACTCTGATGCCCATCATGGCATAGGTGATATCGGGTTTTGATCACAATTGTAAGCCTAACACGCTAGTACAGAGCCTGGTAGGATTTTTAATAAAAATGTTTAACTAACTAAATGAATAGTAACTATTCTGTTTAATAGCCTATTTTGCCAAATATATAGTTGACAACCCTATATTGGTTTAATAAAACTCAAAAATCTTGGAATCATGGGAGTAAATGAAAGTCAATTTTGTTAAAAATATATATTGCAGTAGGGATAGCTTCCCTTCTATAGCGTTGTCATTCTGTAGGTACCCAGAGATGACATTCCCAATCTCTCTTGCATTTCAGTGAGACCATGTGACTAATTTTAACAAGCAGGATGAAAGTGGAAGTGATCAATGGCACTTCTAGGTCAAGTCCTTTTCCATTAACAAGCTAAATGCTGAAGACCTTTAGGCTCTAGAGATGTTGGGGCTACAGGATCCTGAGTCCCTGAATCACCCCAAGAAGGAAAGCCAATTACTGAATGAATCACGCACATGGTGCAATTAGTTGCATATAAAATAAACTTTATTTTGTTAAACCACTGATGTTTTGGAATTTGTTTTGGAAGCTAGTGTTGTCTAACATTTATATCCCCAACTATATATAATACACACAGATATACCTTCACAGACATATACTAGAAGCATATGCACCAGAAATTTGAATGTGGTATTCTCTGGGTGATAGGATTAACAGATTTTAATTTTCTTCTAAATTATCATATTTTCTAAAATTTCTGCAGCAAATAGGCATTATTACACATTAGGTTTATAATCAGAGAGAAAACAAAATAAATGTTATATATTTTTTAATGATTCCCAGACTGCAAAACCTATTTTTTTTTTTTCATTTTTGTTTTTGAGATCCTTCCTCACTCCCTGTATTCTTCAAGCTCTTAGTTTGTTTTGGACCTACAAACTGGGAACACAGCCCATCTTTAGTCAGAACTGGCAAACTGCCAGTCATCCCTCCCCTCTCACATTGGCATCTCAGGGTAATTACTATCCAACTTCTCTCTTTGACACCTCAAAATGGAAGAGTATTGTTTAAAGAAAACTTATATGGATCCCCTTACTGTAGCTGGATCCTTTATCATATGATTTGCATTAGTAGCTTTTTATTCTGAAATAATTTCAAACTTAAAAAGTTGCAAAAATAGTACAAAGACTTATATAATCCTCTGCCCATTCTCCCCAATTATTATTATACCATATTTGTATTATTACCCTGTTTATAGATGATAGATAGATATTTTTTCTGAACCATTTGAGAATAAGTTGAAGATATCTGTAATATTTATCAAAATTCTTGAAAATATGCAATGAATATTTCTCTATTTTCTCTTATTGTAACTTAATTGTAAGAAAATAGAGATATGAGAAAGTTTTAGCTATAAAACTGTTAATCAATATTTGTGATATTAAAAACTGGAAATGGTCTTTATGCCCAATAATAAGAGTTTAGTTGAGTAAAGTATATGGTGCAATTATATACTGCTTCCAAATGCCCTCCTGTTTGCCATCTGTCACTGGCCTCTGTAGCCATTATGACAAAGTTCACAGCTTTTAATATGCCTGCGTCTGTTGACTGTATCACCACTGGGACTCCTTTGATCCTGCCTACTAAGCACCTTCAGAAAAAAACTGATCACCAAGGACACCTTCAACCTCACATGGCCTTGATGAATATTGGTTTCACCAGGAATGTCTCTCCCCCCCCCCCCCGCACCTAAGGATCAGACCAGAGACCACTGAACATAGAGACTCAGTTCTTCCTCAAGTCTCAGGCCTCATGGCCCACGAATCAGGCAGTGAGATTTGATCCAGGGCAGCAATAAAAAACCTCTATGAAAAAGGAACAATAAAATGCCTGGGCTGTTCAGAAAGGTCTGCTCAATATAAGAACAAATAACTTAGAATACCATCAGAATTCTACAGAATGTGCAGCACATAACCTATCCTAATTTAAAATAAAGAGTCAGTTCCTCGAAACCACATATATTCATGAGAATTTCTAGAAGATGAATGTCAACTTTCTTCCTAATAATATCAATGGAAAAACAGATCCCCTTGCCTGGCTCCACAAATGTAACTTTCCAAAGCTTTTTTATCCTTTTCTAGCTGGTATATTTACTTTCCTTACCAAGAACAATGAAAACAAATATAATATTACAGAATTTCCAAAGGAAATCACTGGACTTTGACACCTCAGGTTCAGAAATTCTGAAGTAAAAATAAACATGAAATTTCAAATAGGGAGCACTTGGGATTATCATATTTCTCATACAAATATTTGAATGGAAAGTCATAGAATCTGATATAGCACTTATAAAATAAAAAGAAGTAAAGTTAACTCCAAAATATGCCTCATAAATATTATAAACATCTCATCAAATGGGAAAATTCTCAGATTCAAGAAGGAAACACTCCAAAACATAATATTTATTTAAAAGACAATATAATGTGTATTGAAGACATTTTGGGTCACAAAGAGCTTAAAAATGGAATGGAAAAATGCAACATTCCTTATTGATTTTACTGACACTACTACCAGTACAGAATCACTCACTTTTCTTAAGGAGTATACAAGATACTGCACAAAAAGTTCATTTCATTTAGTTTATTAATATGGTCCAAACAGATTTAGCTTAAGAAATGAGGACAGGACCTAAAACAAGATTTGGCTGAACTATAGAAAGAGAACCAAAAGAATGACAAGATTTTTCAATTGATGACAATTTTATATAGAAAGTTAGTTTCTTAACTAATATAAAAATAAATTTATAACTGCAATCATGACTTAAATTGAGCCAGTGTGCACCACGGTGTCACCTAACAGTTAGTGAGGAAATAAAAGGACCTCATTCCCTTTGTTTGTCTTTGAGCTGGAGCTTCATAAAGTTCCCCTCACAGCACTGGGTTTGCATTTTCTCCTCAGCCACACACCATTTCTGTGTTTCCCTTAGCTTCTTTCTTTTCCAATGGTGGCAGAGCTCAAAAACAAAAACAAAAACAAACAAAAAAACTCAACTAGCCAGTACTGAACAGGGAAGGCAAAAAAAAAGGTACTTTGAGATGGGTGTGGGATGGTCTGGGTACCCACAGATTCAGAAAAATGAGGAGACTAGAGTGGGCATCACCAAACAGCACTGAGGTAAGGGGCCCATGGGCAATTCACACAAAAGACCAGAACCGGATGTTAAAGACAGGAAGGGCTGTTGTTACACTCACAACGTCACACTCAAAGAACAGGAAAGAAAATGAATGGAAAGTAGTTCCTTTTATATTTTTCAGAGGAAAGCATTTTTTAAAAGAAATATAAAAGTCAAGTCCAAAAAGTGAAATAGCAACAGTGAGTATTTAAATAAAATGGAATGTGGAAGGAAAAAAGAATTCTTTTATTTCCATTTGACTGTCCAATTTTTAAAAATGGTTATGTTAAGTCAGGCCAGTTTTGTTGGCTATTGTATATACACTTCTAAGGAAAAGAAGAGACCCCAGTTGGTGTCTCTCAGGTAGACTGGGAAGGAGAGAGGAGGGGAAAATGTGGAAGAAAAGTCTTCGCACTCTTCACGCCCATCTCTTCATGCCCAAAGTGGACACGGTCTTTAGCCCGTGCTTTAAATGGCAGGATCAGACCACAGAAAACATAGTCACCAAGGACAGCAGAGGTTTAGTCACAAGCACTTGGTGCTCAGCACGCCACAGAGTAGTGTAAGGCACGCGAGCAGCTGGAGGGAGAGAGCTCTGTGCAGAGAAGAGGAAGACGATGTTCCACACACCACAGGTTCCGCTTTATACGGTCTTTCTATGTCTGGAGGTAATGCCGTCATTCCTTGAATCTGAAAATGGAAGCAAAGACAATGCAAATGAGCGTACGATTTAAGAGGGCAGTGGCAGTGGCTTCAGCAGGGGCTGCAGGCGGCAGAGAAAGGTTACTGGGTTGGGGGCGCAGAGGTCATATACCGGGGAAGTCAGAAACTTAGGGTTTAGGAGGAAGGTAGAAAGAGGGCCAGATACTCCTTTGGAGAAGAAAAACCACAAAGCAGGCTCTATTGCTTTTTAAGCACTCAACCATTCTATCCCAGCTTCATCCCAACTTTAATTTTAGAACAAATTTCTCTCTTCAAAAGGAGCGGAATCAAGAGTTTTCAGTCAATCCAAGTTACCATCAAACAAATAAATTATCAGACATACCCAAAGGCAACTCGAACACTGGATCTATGGATATATGTCTGTTTCTTAGTTTTCCTATGATGGTTTCAGGTAAAATGTGCCGTCTGGTTTCTCAGAGGTTAAAACAAAGTCGAGCTTACCGACCACTCTGCGTTGTCTGTCTTAGAACATCTCATGTTCACCGGCAGGCTAAGGACCAGCTTGTTGAAGGAGAGACCTTCTTTTTTATTCCATTTGAACTTATTCATTGCGTCCATGAAAGAAAGGTTTTTATACTGCTTGGGACTTTTGATAATGAAAGGCCAGGTCCTGAATTTAAAATAAAAAAATAATTTGTCATATTCAGAACAAATGCATTACATATTTCCTTTCCTTTTCGACATTCTAAAATCAATGTCATACTTGTTCATTGTTACACATACAAATAACCTAATGTGAAGCATTGATGAGCTCATCAGCAGTTACTAGAAGAAATATGTACCAAATAAGGAGTCTTTTTTAAAAATGGTATTCCCTGTTTTAGTAGCAGATTATATTGATTTTAAATACAAATAATCTTGGCTCAGAAAGCTTCTGGAGACCTTCATAATTCCTCGCTCATTTGTTTTGACTCTAGTTAGCAATATAACTGGTAAGCATTTATTTCTGAAGACTGCTATGCTAAGGGTGTAATAAACTTGCAGGTTCCTAAAAGATACTGTAACAGGAGAAAAATTTAAATCCATACACTAGAAAAGCCTGACCCCTGCTGGCTGCTTTGTTTTGGCTTGGCTAAGTGAGAAGATAAATAGAAAACACCTGAATTTGACGAGTGTTTTTAAAATTTTATTGAGAAAAAATACTCTGTAGACAATACTCTGCTTCCACTTGCCACTCTAAAAAACACACTTTAAATGTCCAAGAAAGAAAACAGAAATCACAAAAGAATGACACGACCTGCTTGAAAAGACATTCTTCAGGTGATGCCATTGATTAAATACAAGTTTTAGATTATTGATTTCTGAAAAAATAAAAAGTATAAGTACTGGCATATCACAAAAATTTATATTAACTAATCCATGGACCTTACAGGAGGTTATCATGGGTGGCTAGTAAGTATTCGGCTCCCATGACACCCCAAGAAGATGTTCCCATGATTTCCAGTAATCACCAAATAATTAACCTCAGCTGAGGAATCTACATTTTTGATATTTGATCTTCACAGTTTCTTCATTTATTTATGTCATTATTCTCTCTCTTATACACATAACCTACTCAGGCACACTGAATATTATTTTCTTAAGCAAATGAAACATCTTTTACGGGTTTTTTTGAGTTACAAAGATGAATTTTTAATGCCTAAATTTGAATTATTCCCTCCATATCAAATAAGTGAGACAATGAGTAAAACAATGGGTAATATATGAATATCTTTACATTCTTACATCATTACAATCCTAACTTCCTTTTAAATCAATATATCTTTGTGGAGTTTTAAATGCATTATTATACAGAGACCTTAAAGTTAATAAGTACCATAAAGTAAGAGCAATCAGCATCACACCACACGAAAGGTATCTAGCAATGATTTAAAATCTGTAGTATTTTAAAATTAAACAACTTATACAGAGACACAATCCAGAATTAGTATAAAACAAAAATTTGCCTTGAAAGGGGACTATGATATTTGCAAACTATGTCCTTTCGAATACACGAAAAGCTACAGATAGGTTTTATTAAATATAAAATCATTTTAAAATCAAACGTTAAAAATAAAATTTACTTTTCAAAATGATATGGTGCCTATTTTGAAAAAGAGAAAATCAACTTTATAATCAGACATGCTAGGGAGAAATCATCAGGCTGTAACCACCTAAAACACCACCAGGTGGCACTTGATCTCTACCAAGGTGCTCAGGTGAAATAAATCCTCTCAATTTCTGCAGCCTCACCGGTAAGAGTGAATAGTATAACCATTACACATAGATGAAATCTTTAAAAGTCTTGTGCTATAATAATTTTGTAAACTACCATTTATTGATATTTATTGCAAAACATAAAGTGACAGGAAATGTGTAACCACATTTGTTATTTTTTTAGTACAGACATGGAAAAGGGCAAGCCTAATGGCTCGTAAGTTGGAGACAGAATGACTGAGGCTGGGTGACTTGGAGATGTGGTCGTCAACCTTTCTGAGATGGCATCTTTGTCTCATATTTATGGTCTCTTTCCCACTCCTACTAACTTTGTTCAGGCCCTTATTGTATAATAACTTTATAATAATAAGCATCCCACTTGCCATTGTTAAGTTTTCCAGCCTATCCTACACCACTCTTCCAGATTACCCCTTGGAGAGAAGAGAAGACAGAAAAAGGATAAATAAGAAAAAGTGAATACTTATCCTGAGTATTTTTTTTCAAAAAGACTAATAAGCTTATAGATTAATAAGCTATAAACAGGTAACCTTAAGCAGAAACCTTAAGCAGAAACAGGTAACCTTAAAGTAGCAAGTACTTCTTCTATTACTGGGACTAGCAGTTAGTTAGAATATTAGGAATGTTATAGAAATGAAAAAAAGTTACACTTCTGTTCTGGGAAGTGTGTAAAAGTCTACCCAGATACACATAGAAATAAAAAGATATTGTTTATATATCATTGTATTTGATAAAAACAGTATTACTGTTATGTTTTAATATTGTCGCGTAATTTCCCTTTGTAAATTCAATTTAAATTCTGAGACATGTTTTTCTAAGAAAGTAGCAAGATTTACTGCAATACATGATGGTGGAGTTAAGTTGTAATTTTCCAGAACAAATGAAGCAATTAATTTTTGTAAATTCAGACCAATCAATAGAAATTTTAAACTTTTTAAAAAGTTTAATGATTTTTATACCTGGTCCCTCTGCTCTAAATTAAAAAGCAGATAGAGAAAGATAATCTGTGGTTACATTTCTTATCTGAGCTTCTCTGGTAACTCCACTTCTGTTTTAAAAGTTTCATTGCTAGTGTCTTTCTTGAGAGGGGAGAGGGTGGAGGAAAGAAGAGAGATGGAAGATTTAACCAAGAAACTGTGTTTATGTACATATGGTTTACTGAATTACATCACAGATTCTCCTTCTATCAAGCAAATAGATATGTGATCGAAAATCAGTAAGACAGGCAAAAATTCATTACCAGACTTCCCTTCTGGCCATGTTGATACTAACTTACTATTAAAAATACTCAACATTCAACAAACTATGAAACAGCTAGTTTTGGACATTGGAAAAGATATAGCACAGAACTATGATCTCCAAAAGAAAGGAAACAAATGAGGTATTCGAATGCCATATTCATCCCAACCTTTTGCCTGGAAGCTCTCTCTGGACTGTAATGCAGGAAAGGGCATTTCCAAGCAAAAGTAACAATCTCAAAGAGTTAAGGAGATCAAAATTAAAGCTAAAGGAGTTGAAGAAGCTTTCATTTTCAAAGTAGAGTACTGCAGAGGGAAAAAGTACACATAGGAAGCTCTTCAAAAATCTGTGTAAGAATCGACTGAATCTGTGTCTGAGTAATAAGCCAACTATAGTCAGGGTAAAATTCCACAAAACTGGGCAAAGAACAACTGGGAGGCTCTAAGCCAAACAATTCCCACAGCTCACAGACAGCTGACAGACATTTGAGCTTAAACCATCCAGAGTGGAGTGTCTTTGCTGAATAACCAGGCATTTAGTAGAGATCTGAGCATGGGTAATACCTTAGTAGTAAAGCTAAATATGCCTTAGAGTAAACATCTATTCTAGATGCACACTAACAAGACTCTTCAAAACAACCAAAAACAATCTAGCACTAATCAATCCAACAGCATAATGCCTAGTATCTATGTCTAGTCAAAAATGACTGGACACAATGAATAAGTATATAAATGTGACTCTTAAATCATGAGGAAAATCAGTCAATCTTTTAATATCTAGAAATAGCAGAGATTTAAAAATTAGCAGACAGGGATATTAAAACATAAAATTAAATATTAACAAAGCATGTATAAAACTTCAATACTAAAATTACAAAACAGTGCTAAGAAAAATGAAAGAACACTAAATAATAGAAGAGGCATACTATGTTCACAGATTAGAAGACTCAATATTGTTAAGATATCAATTCTTTCAATTTGATCTAGAAATTCAACATAATTACAATCAATTCATGCAGTTTATTTTACAAAAAGAAACCTGCAGTTTGATTTAAATATATATTTATCAAAATAATTTGGGGGAAAAATGACAAAGTTTGAGACCTACATTGTCTTATTTTAAGACTTCCTATAAAACTATAATAATCAAATGTGGTATTAAAGTAAAGCTAAACACATACAACAATGAAAAAGAATAGAATGTCCTGATAGAGTCATATATGGTAAAATGATTTTCCTACAAATATTCCAAAGAAATTCAATAATAGAAAGGTAGTTTTCTTTCATCAAATGCTTCTTGAAGAACTTGATATCCATAATGAAAAACAACAAACCTAAGATTTACCTCATACCATACACAAAAATTGATTCAAAATGGATCAACTTAACTTTGAGTCTCCCAGATAGAAAGGAAGGATTGAAGGCTGCAATAGATTTGTTAGCATGGTATAAGGTCTGGGTCATTCCGCCATGGAAAAATGATTCAGCCCTGACTAGTTACAAAAAAGCCCTTGAACAGAACCTTAATAAATGCTTTCTAATATAGAGTATACAATCCCACCCCAACACCCAAAACCCTTTACTCTCAATACGTACATAAAGTAAACCACTCAAATCTCAAATTGTGGTATGGAGAGAAAGAAAACTGGGGTTTTCTTTGGTATGGTGAAAAGAAAATCAAGAACTCACCTATGCTTTACCAGAGTGAAAAAAAGGTTTGGACAGACATGTACCAGCATAAGCAAGAATAAGATAACAATCATGCAAATATAGGGTAAAAAGGACATTATAGAATATTACTTGTAAAGAAACAGGAAATACTGAGTCTGGAAAAAAATATAAGTGGATTATGCTGGAGAGAATTCCAATAATTTTCATGAGTTTGTTTAATAACAAATTAATAACATAATATAATTAATATAAATATATTTCAATGCAATATGTACTCAAAAACAAGATGATGGAATAACAGAATGAGATACAAAAGAAGATTGCAGACCAAAGAAAATAAATTTAAGAAAAAATAAATTTAGCATCAAATAAATTAGAAAAATCAAGAAGCAGAGAAACACTCCTGAAAAAATTATAAAGGAAAATGCCTGATAAAAATTCCAAATAGATTACAAAATGTTTTCAGATATACTACAAGAAAATTTCTCTAAAATAAAATAAAGTGAATATATCTACTGAAAGAACAATTTGTGCTCAGAAAAACTGGATTCAGATGCTCAACACTAAAGTATATATGAATCCTGCAGGTGAAGGAAGAATTTTTCCATTCATCTAGAGAGATCTACCAAGGGAAAGAAAGTTATGACCCCAAAATATTATATCTAGCCCAAATGCTGTCCAAATAAAAGTGTAGAAATTCTTAAACTAGAAAGAACTTGGGGCATAAGGCACCCACAAGCCTGATTTAATAACATGAAGATAAAATCTTGATAACTTAAATTTAAAAACTCAGAAATGTAGAAATCATATAAAGATTCAGGGTTCTCATTGAATCTATTTATGTATAAAATTCATGTTAAATATTGTGGGAATTATGTTTTCAGAATTACATGTAAAAATTAAAAATCTTCAAAATACAAAAATTATAATATAAATAATAAATATTTGGTGGTGTGGAAAAGGGAGGTTAAAAAAATGTGAAAGTATTAATGTCCTAATCTTCTGTGACCTAAAATTGAGACATATAATTAATATAATAGTCTAATATCTTAATATCTTGTGTGATCTATTTTCTCAATATTTGAGATCCCCTTTATAAAATATTATTTCTTGTGGTGAAAAACAATAGCAACAACATTTATCTGAAATTCAATAAATGTTCAGTTTTAATTTAGTTTCTTTCTTATGATAAATTAAAACAAAATTAAAATTTAATGTTTTTGTTTAAAACACTATACAAATTATAATCTTTACAAAAATATTTAATCTATTCATCTTTATATAAATATATACATATAAAGATGTCTATAATAATACTCAATTAACATTAGCAATGTTTATTTTTAACAGAATTTGAAATGATTGCTTTTGCCTTCTTTTAAAAAATGTGTTCTGTATTACTTGAACATTTTATAAAAACATGATTTTTAAACAGCAAAAATACAAAGTGATTTTTCCTGTGAAGAAAAAGAGAAATACCTCTTGATTCTCCTTTAAAAATGGAACCAGTAACATAGGAACTTTCCCACACATAAATCTCACCAGAACTGCATGTTCAGCGTTGATGTGTGGTGCAACAGAAATATCTAAATATATCTAAACACATTATCTATTTTGTTATCTGATCTTTGTGAGTTTTTTTGTTTTTCCATAAGCCTTTCCAGATGTGTAGGACACAGAGAAAGGCAGAACTCCCCAGAACAGATGACAACATTGAGACAAGATGTTTTTGTCTCTATTTTTCCATCAACCTATCCTCTAAATCCTAGGATTGCTACCAAATGTTTAATATAAAATGTGGCACCTAATTAGTCATAATAATGAAAGCACAGAATAGAAGATTTGTGGTCATATGTTATATGATATTCTTTTTTAGTATTCTGAAAACCAGTTAGTAATATTCTTTTAAGCAAAATAGAAAAAAGTGCCTAAACCATTTCTCGCTTTCTCATCTTTTAGCCAGCACCTTGTTGGTTTGGCCTTCACTATTAATTGTCACTGTAATGATAATCTAGACCTGAAAGTCTGATTTAAAGTCTAAGAGGAGGTCTCACTATCCCTGTTTGCTGACAAGATGATCTAATATCTATTAATAGAAAACCTTTAAGACTCCACCAAAATGCTCGTAGGGTTGAAAAATAAATTCAGTAAAGTCTCCGATTACAAAATCAATGTACACAAATCAGTAGTACTTCTGTATACTGATAACAGTCAAGCTGAGAGTCAAATCAAGAACTCAGTACTATTTACAAAGGCTTCAAAGAAAATAAAATACCTAGGAATATACTTAACCAAGGAAGTGAAAGCTTTCTACAAGGAGAACTACTAAACACTGATGAAAGAAATCATACATGATACAAACGAATGGAAAAACATCCCACACTCATGGATTGGAAGAATCAACATTGTTAAAATGTCCATACTGCCCAAAGTGATCTAGAGGTTCAATGCAATTCCCATCAAAATACCAATGTTATTTTTCACAAATCTAGAAAAAATAATCCAAAACTTCATATGGAACCAAAAAAGAGCCCAAATGGCCAAAGCAATCTTAAGCAAAAAGAACAAATCTGTAGGTATCACATTAACTGACTCCAATTATACGGCAAGGCTGTAGCAATTAAAAAAGCATGATACTGACATAAAGGTAGACACATAGGCCAGTGGAACAGAATAGAGAAACCAGAAATACAAACATATAGCTATGATCCACTGATTTTCAACAAAGCAGACAAAAACATACACTGGGGAAAGGATGTTCTATTCAAATTTGAGCATTTCCCAGCATTGAGCTGGGAAAATTGGATAACCACATACAGAAGAATAAAATTGGATCCCTATCTCTTACCAGATAAAAAAAAATTGACTCAAGATGGATTAAAGACTTAAATGTATGAACTGAAATCATAAAAATTCTAGAAGAAAATCTTGGAAAAACTTTTCTAGATATTGGCATAGGAAAGAATTTATGAATAAGAACCCAAAAACAAACACAGCAACAACAAAAATAAATACATGGTATTTAACTAAACTAAAACGTTTCTGCACAGCAAAGAAAGTAATCAACAGAGTAAGTAGACAACCTACAGAATGTGAGGAAATATTTGCAAAGTATATACCCAACAAAAGACTAATATCTAGAATCTACAAAGAACTCAAACAAATCAGAAAGAAAAAAACCCCACATAATCCCATCAAAAAGTGGTCAAAATACATAAACAGATTTTTCTTATTCTTCTCTTACCCTCATAGCCTCCCTGAGATGAAATCAACAAGTCTTGTGTGTGCTACTTTCAAAAGGTAACCTGAATGTAACTACGTCTCATCAACTCTAGTGTCACCACCTTGGCCCAAGGTTCCCTCATCCCTCAACTGGACAATCACAATAGTTTTCTGATTGGTATTATTCTTTCCAATCTTGTCCTCCTAGAGTTATTTCTCAGTATTGTAGCCCAACTAACTTTGTTTACATCCTACAATGGCTTCTCTTTGCACTTAAAGCACAAAGGCCTCACATTGCCCATTAATCCTGCATAATCTGGTCCTACCTGCTCTCAAGACCTCATCACTTCTTCTCTGCCAGACTTGGCTCCAGCCAAACGCACCCCCTTTGCTGTTGCTCATACTCACCACGGGGTCATGATGCTGGCTCTTCTCCCTGTGTAAAATATATTTGTGTATCTTTCTATAAGGCTTTCATTATGAAGGTCTCTGCTCAAATATCACCACCCCAAAGAGATTTTCTCCACCCTATTGACAATAGCACCACACTTTCTTTGCTGATTTGTCTTTATAATACCCACTACTATATAAAATTTTATGTTTGTTTATTGCCTCTTCCCCACTCAAGAATATAATCTCAAGAGGGCAGAAACAATATTTATCTGGTTTTTTATTTTATCATAAATAATTTCTTTGATGCACAATTGTACAGAATGAGTTAACATAGCAGGCCTAAGAATGCTAGCTTCAGAAAGGCCAGCTTGCAAGGATGACCCATGGCTGGCGTCTGGGAACTTAAATACTAAACAATTTCCTATGGTGATATAAAACTTTCTCTAAATGGTAAGCATGACTCATTGTACCTAAACTGTTTTTGCCAACAATGCATTTTGTGCTGAGCACCTGCTTTCTTTCTGGGAGTCTGGAATTTTGAGAGTCCTATGTGGCCAGTCCCCAAAACACTCTGGGCACTGAGTCTCTAATGCGCTTGTCCAATAGACACCATTTTATACATGTTGTCGCAATTCTGTGCTGGCGGAATTAAGCACACTCTGTGTGACTCCACTGGCAGAAGCCTCTTGGAAGCTAGTACTTGGTTTTCCCTAGACTTTGGCCCGTGTACCTTTTGTTCTTTTTGCTTTGTATCCTTTCACTGTAATAAATGTTATCTGTGAGTACAACTAGTTTCTTAGTTCTTTAGGTCCTCCTAGCAAATCACTGAAACTGAGGGAGGAGGTCTTGGCGACCCTGGACATAGCAATTGAGAAGCTTACCTGGTCTTCACAGTTGAAAGTAATCAAAAACAGCAGCACATAAAAAATTCCTACAACATGTTAATAAACTGAATATGAAAATTAAGCCCATCCTTCTCTGAAGTATATAATCTCTACTATGAAATCAGTTACTACTTACCTGACTGGTCTGTAGATCTCCTTAACACCAATGAACTGAAGTTGTTCCATGATGTCTGGAATACTTGCACATCGAGTGAGATTAATTCTTGGGTAATAAAGAAGGTATGAGAGACACATTTCACTCCTGGTGCTTAGTCCTCCCTGGAAATGGGTATATTTTATTTAGCAAAGTAGGTATTCCACCAATTCTGACATTTACAACTCATTAAGTCATTAATGTCAAGTTCCTTCCAGTATTAAAATTTAATAAATCTTAAAGCTGAAAAGTAATAACTTATCTGAATGCTATGTCCATTAATACACCAAGTTTTCATATATAGCACTTGTAGGTCTAAGATCCCTATTGTGTTGTGGATTTCAACCATGTTGTGTTAATCACCACAGCTTTAAAATAATCATGCATATCTAGTAGCTTATTTCCCATCTTGTTCTTTTTAATTATGTCTTGCCTATTTTTAATCCTTTGCTTTTCCATGTAGATTTTAGAATCAACTTACTCCATGTAAAAGCTAAAACTATGAAATTTTTATAAAAATGAAAAATTAGAAGAAAATATTTGCAACTTTGGCTAGAAGAGATATTTCTTAGTTAGGATACCAAAATCCCAAATTATAAAATCTCTCTGAATTTCCCTTTACTGAAATATCAAATTTTTGGACCAATTTGTATAGAAGAATTTTCTTTATTTCACTTAGCCTTTCTATCCATGAACTTGGTATCTCTTAATCTCTTTAGGCATTCTTTAATGTCTTGCGATAAATATTTATAATATTATCCATAGAGATCAAACACATCTAATGTTAGATTTTATTTCTATGTTAACTTATAATAATAATAATAAAAGTTTTCTTACCCAAGTCATCTCAGCTCTATCTTTTGTGTTGTAGCGACACTCAGTAATTAGGTTATCTCCCTAAAAGATAAAAGTAAAAGCTTTCAGATTGAAGTTTTATGCTGTTTTGTCTAATTGTAGGTCAAAAGTTAATGTTCCCTCTATGAATGGATGCACCATGTGATTTGATTCAGGAGAAAACTTTCAATTTGTTTAATTCTAGGTTTGCTAGTATAATAAGCAAATAAACAAGTAAGTCTCTCTGTGTTTGGGCCAGACTCTACAACATTCTAGCTGGATAACCTTGGCAAGGAATTGAATAAACTGGTTACGATTTGTTCATCCAGAAAATAATGATAAAAAATATCAGTTATTTTTGTACAGTTGTTGAGAGGAGATTGAATGCCATAATGCATACTTAGTCCTTAGTACAGAATAAACATTTAATAAATGTTAGCCATAGATAATAGTTTTAGTGATCACCTCTTCATTTACATTATTTTCTTCAAAGCTCTTTCTTTAGTCATGTCTTTACTTCCTTGGAACACAATTAAGAGGCAAATGAATAGTAAAGTATTGCTCTAGAGTTTTCCAACCTTTTGAACATTACAGAACACATGGAAAATGATATGATTTTTATGGCTCCCCACTCAGGTAAATGAATGAAACTATTCATGGGCCAGAGCAGCCAGCCATCCCTGGGCTTTAGCCATTGGATTTGTCCCCACTGTTCGATGACCCAGAGGGCCCAGAGATCAGTATCCCAACATACTTACACTGTAATCATAGCATGGTTATTAATAGAAAGTTCTAGATAACACTGTTTGGAAAGTCCCGAGATGACATAATAAAGGAGAATATAGTCCTTTTAAGGACCTTGACAAGATCACTGTTTCTCAAACTTTCTACCCTCAGGGCATAGCCAATAATTTGTGAAAGGAATATAGAGCCAACACCGTGGATTGAAGATCAGCCATTAGAAAAAAGATGACCCCTTTTCTCATCAAAACTTCTGTTTTTCACATTTCCCTTTATATGACATTGTGTAATGCCTTCTCCCTGACAGTTCAGCCCATCTAAAAGTCTTGCCCTCAGCACCACATAGAAAAGATATGACTATTACTCTCATTTCATAAACAGTATAAGAATCTGACTTTTAAGAGTGGAATAAGGGTAGAAAATTATAGGACTATTAAGCTTCATGGTCATGGAATAAAAAATTTGAGAAAATAGTTGTAAAATTTTTTAAAAAAGCATTCATTATTGTAAGGCATATGATTCTCTTCTATGCCATAACCGCAAGTATTATTTTAAGCCAGATCATGCAGCACAGTATAATTAGCTACATTCAAATACCTTTATTAAATAAAAGGATTATCCTTATATTCATTTTTACTGAAATGAAACTTCTAAAAAACATATCCCATTTCTTCGAGATAGCATAAAGAAACAGAATAAGGATCTTTTTACCATTTCCAGAATTGCAACCCAAAGGATTGCTAACTGGAACATCAAGTGAAAATAAAAGTAATGTTTAGTGCTCGGAACCTTGAGTTTTTTGTTTTTGAGATTTAAAATTTTTTTTTAATTTTTGAATCAACAACCTGAATTGCCTCTGGGAATAGTAATAAAAATGAGTTTCAAATTTGGAAAACAGATCAAAGGCATTCCATCTGAGTTGTGCAACACCCCTGGTGGGTGGCTTCAAGAATACAGATACAAGGAACAAGTCATTTCACGAGTGGAAACCTTGCTACACCTCAGCAGATATATGTCTCATGGCTTTTATAACAGTTAGTAAAAAAGAACAAAAAGCATGCATACTGGTAAGATTGTTTGTTCCTCCTTTAGATATTGAAACTCCTGGAAATTGAAATCAAAATCGTCATCATAGGCGAGCAATTTCATTTCCTTCCCTTTTCGAAAATGACGCAGCCTGATGCCTCTGCCAGCCAGGTGGGCGTGGAGCAGCACAGCAAACACGTGGATTCCACTTGGCTTCTCAGCTTCCAAAGCCTGCGGGCCAAGCCGAGGAAGACCCGATTAGCCCAAACAAGCGCATGTTCAGACATTTCACGTTCAAACACACTTGGAGGGACAACTGAGAAGAAAACTAAAGCAACTTAAAGTGAATGCTTGAGCTGCCAAACATTTTGAATTTGGATTATTCAGTGTGATTTCTGTGAAGGAACATAACTGGGAGAAAAGAAAGGGAACTGATGCCAGTCCCTTCCTAAATGTTATCTTGCTTCCATCTTTCAGGAAGTAAAGTAGACAATGCTCCTGGCATAATGATTCCAGTGTGTTGGCAACCTGAAAGTCCAAACTCTGAAAAGGAGAAATTATTCCCACTCTTCCAGATAAGAAAGCCAAAGTGAGTCAGTGCAAGTAATGAGTCGTCCATGGTCCTGCAGCTAGTAAATGATGTCGCTGCAATTGGATCGTGGTCTAAATAACTCAGAAGAGCATAATCTTCCCACTTCTCCAGTTTGCCATACTGTCCGGAACCACAGTACCTTAGAATATGCAAAGAATATAATCCATGTTGAAATATTTTCATTCAAAAAAACTAAATGAAAACAGTCATTATTAAATGCTTATACATGCTTTTCTCTTATCTAATATGTATTTGTATGTTAGTTATTCTTGCTCTTTGGTGAAAGAAGGAAACTATAGAGTAGAGAAAAAGAGAAAAAATAAAAATGAATGATGGAAAAAATAAATATGGATAAAAGGTAAAGAAAGGAAAAAGAGACTACACAAGGTAGAAATTGTATAAGATGAAATGAAACGTCAATATGCAACAAAGGAGGCAGAAGCAGGAAGAAAAACACCCTGCAAGGTATTCTTGTCTTCAGAATTCTAACTTCTACAGCCTTCGAGATTTAAAAAAGCAGTCAAATTTCCTGCTAAAGTTGCAATATAAGTTTCACAAGGCACCCACAAGAAAAGGATCAATAATCGATAAGCAAGGAATTGTTCACACCACAGTCTCTAAGAGCACTGATGAGTCCCCGGGTGGCAGCTCACAGACTCAGATTATGCGTACCTCTTCTAGGCATTCCAGAGAGCAGTGACCCTCGGACCGGAACTCTGGCATTCCCGGGGGAATGGTATGAAAGAGGCTCACCCAGAGGCCAGCCTCGATCACCCCGGCATCATATTTCCTTATATCCGTCGTATGAAATAACCTCAGCCCAGAATTATCTATTAAGCCTGGAACAAAAGCATATAATTAAAAGTGAAGTTTGAGTTTTTAAGAAAGTGTGTTCATATTCAGTTGAAATGGGTTAATTAAATTTCTTTAAACTCTCATAAGGGAAAGGAACACAAACAGAGAGGCACAGAAGAAAACATTCAGCTTCACAGAAAGGAATTAAAAGATGAGTAGCCACACTGCCTGCAACCATCGTGAACTCACACGCTATACCATGGGGGAAGTGTTACCTAGCTGTTGTAGTCCACAATGATCTAACATGAAGGCAGAATGAAAATTCTAAAGTCATTCATTCTAATATGGAATAACTCAATAAAAGTTTCATTTTATATTGTTTTGAGGTAAAGTTCATTAACATTTATTTAGAGGTAAAAACCCCTTGGTCTAGAAACTATCTGCTAATGGAGAAAACCACTAAATATTAACTTTCTTTCTTTATAGGTTGTCACCCTTCTCTTAATAAGACGCACTTCTTGCTATGACTTATTTATTATAAGGAAGGACAGTATCAGCCCCAAACACTGCAGAAATTTGTGTTACTAACTTCAAAATTAATTGACTCCCTTCTGCAGTGTTGCCTTATCTACCGGTGACTACCAGATTGGCCCTTTCCCCACAGTTTGCTTTCTCAACTCCTTTTACTCAAACAGCTTAATCTATTTATAATCATTCTTAAACACCAAGGTCTTATATCAAATGTTTCTCATTGTATTAATATATTATATATGCCTAACTCACACACACATGCACACACAGACTCACACTCATACACATATTTAGAAAATATGTATTACTTTGAATGTTTTAGGGCACAATAAGTTGATAAAATTAAGTATCCCAATAATTATCTCAGGAGATTCTTATCTCTTGACCTCCTAAACAGCCTTGAAAAATCCGACCTTCCTTTCCTGTTTAGTGGGCTTGTTATTGTGAGCATGCAATCATTTGGCATTTGTTCATTGACTCAAGCTTGTTCAGATATTTAGGGTCACACAAGAAACCACTGTGCTGTGACAATTAAGAGCGCTGACTCTGGAGCTGACCACCCTGGCTACAGATCCCAGCTCTGCTTCTTAAGAGTTGTATGAGCTTGAGAAAGTGCTGGGGGTTAAATGTTTGATCCCTCCAAAAGCAGGTTTGAATGTCTGTTGAATTGCAATTGCCATTCTGATGGTTCTGGGTGGAAAGACCTTTAAGGTGTGTGCAGGTTGTGAGGTCTCTGCCCTCCTAGATGAACTAAGGCCATTATTTTGGAAGTGGTTCTGCCCGCTCCTGCTCTCTCCCTTTGTCCTTCCACCCTGTGATGACACAGTAAGAGGGCCCTCGACAGATGATGATACCTTGATCCTGGACTTTCCAGCCTCCATAATTGTGAGGAATAAATTTCTATTCATTATAAATTACCCATTCTGTGGTACTCTGCTACAGCAGCACAAAACAGACTAAGAATGGAAAATGGCCATAATAGTAGCACTACTTCTTCCTGGGGTTGATGTGAGGCTTAAACACAGAGGGCTTAGAACACTGTCTGGCATGAATGAAGTGCTCAATAAATAGCAGCTAGTCCAAAAGCTTCTTGAGGCCAAAGATTGTGTCTTTTTCATGTCTGTATTTCTGTCTAGTGCTCACACATATACCCGGAAATCAATCAATTGTTAAACAAATATACCATGAAAATCAATTCTCCTTTTATGTTATTACCAGTGCAGATATAAATGCATGACAATGCAGAACATTTATATTGACCCTAGGATTTCTTTTTCTATATCTTGGAGAATTTGTTTTGTATTTTATATTTTTGTGATCCAACTCCTTCTAATTTAAGTTTGATAGGGGAGGAAAAGGTAAGCAGGAGTTCCAGTTGGGTTTACTGTAATTCATTTTATTAATTGTGTTGGGGTCTGGATCACTAATACATCATCTATTAACAAAGTAATAATTTATGAAGTAAATATAAAATGATTATTAAAAACTTTTCTGTGAAAGGTTAAAAACCTTTCTGTAAAAACCTAAATTCATATTATACAATGTTTACTATGTTTATCAAGGCCAAATCACTATAAAATTTGGTCTAATTATGAATATGAATTAATAGAGTACTAAAAGATCTTGAGTTCTTCATTAACCTATTAGGAAAAGCAGCTTACATTCCATTTTTACATTGAAACCATGAGAAAGTCAACTTAATTGAAAACAGACAAGCCAAAGGAATCAAATCCTATACTTTTATAATAAAGACTATAAAAGGGAGAAGTCACATTAAATTTCTAAAGAAGTATTATACATTATATAAGATATTCTATGAATAACAAAATCAAAGATGTGAAATTTTTGAAAAATAAAAATTGCAATATAAGATATATTTAAGAATTATTTATATTATTATTAAAAATTATAATTTATGTGTTTCATAGACAGATGATTTCATGGGAAATCTAACTTTTAGAATTTGTTCATAGGTTATTTTATAAATGTTTGGATTTATGAATGTTTTTTAAATTTAATTCATTTTAAATTCATGGTTAATAAAAGTGAATTCAGAGAAAATATTACTATTTCATATGAATTAATTAAGACAAAAAAAGATAATTTACTAGCTTGCTCATAAACAAAATAGCTTTGACACCTTTATAGAAGCAGCACTCTTTAAATATCATACCACGTTACCTCTTTTCATAATCTATTTTTCATTCTGCACCAGCCAGAGTGGTCTTTTCAAAATACTAATTTTGGTATTTGACTCCACTGTGTCAGACTCTTCAATTGCTTCCCATTGCCTTCAGGATGAAGGCCAAAATCCTTAACATGGCCTACAAGGCCTTACATGCTCTGGTTCTGCCTTCATCTCCAGGCTCATCAGCATCTTTCTTTACTGCACCCCCAAACTGTCAGCACATCCTCACCAGATGAAGAGTTTGATTCCTCAACAAAGCCTTTCTAGACCATCCCCACCACCACACACCCCTGCCTAGATTCGGTCAACAGTTGAATACTCTCATAGTGTCAGGTACCTCTCCTTTGGATCAGTTGGCATATATATAATTTTATATTAATGGTGTGATTATTTGATTATTTCTCATGCTCACTGGATACAATTTCCATAAGGGTAGGAACAGTGTCTATTTTTCACTCACGTTGTATCCTCAAGCTCAGATCTGGCACATAGCTGGTGCTCAGTATTTGCTGAATAATTGCACGAAGCAATATAAAATAATACCCTGGAGTTGCTTATGTTGATAATTTCATATTAAATCTATTAATTTGGGGGTTCTGAAATATTATATAAGTAAATTCAGAAACCAAATGTACATCCTTAACACCTTTTCACTTCAATATTGTACTACACAGTGTCATTGCATAAGTATTTCTTTGAGTATATTTATTACTTGCCTATCACAACAAAATGCTTAATATTTTTTAGTGTAATAAATGTTAGCTTTTTCATCAGTTAGAAAGAAAATGTTTTATAAATACCATGAAATTAATGTATATTACAAAGGAAAATATCTAATATTCTACTTTCTGGTAGGTAGTATGCGAATGAATTTTTTAAGATTAGTGATCACATGTGTTCATTTGCCTGGTGCTGGTTAATGCCTATTGTTGCAGTCTAATTATGAATAGTACCCTCTTTCACTTCAAAAAGTATCCTAATTTGGATGATAAATTATAGATTAATTCTTTCTAACAATGGCTGCTATTTTGTTTCAACTTCATTAAAGACAAGAGCTACAAAACTTTTTCAGTCGTAGATAAAATACATGAAGAATAAACTCACCTTCCTCATATGTTGGATTGTCATAATGGATTTCCAAGAGCACATAATGCGGATCCAATGGGGACCCAAGGGATAATCCAACATGAGGTGGATAGGAAAAATCCTAAAGATGGAAAATTCCATGAGACAGTGTCCTATGAAAGTTGTTGAGAGCTCTACTCCATTAAAAAACCAACCATTCTCCAAGATATTTCAACCTTCTCAAACTCCATTAATCTCTAACTGATGAAATAAAATAAAAATGAGTTAAGGAAAGAATCCCTTCCTATGACAATGGAAACAGGCTACCCACATATCAAAAATAGTGCACAGAGCTTTGCTTATAAATATTCGAATCATATTGGTGGTCAATTAATTATGTTACATCTCAGTAATCATCAGCCCCACCTCTCCACCAATGGCCCAGGCAAAAATCACGGTTTCACAGGTGAGGAAGGCATCAGGCATGTTAGGGTGGTAGCACTCGTGACCAAAGTCTAGAATGCTGTCGTTGAAGTTGCTGCTGCACTGATAGAGCAGGATGTGGTGGATCAGACTCTCGTGGCCTCTCTGTATCACTGGCTCAATCTACAAGACACAAATGAGAGGAAGGATGCGATAAATAAAACCGCCCTACAACATCCTGCAACAGGCATGAAACTAGCATAAACGTTATTGGTTTTTTAAAGGAATATTCTTCTCAATTATGTAAAGGCTATACAGTTCAAGTATAATTTGTTCTGGAGATGACAACAATGGTAATGATGAAGATGACAATGTCAATAACAAAGATGAGATGATCATTTATTCCGAGAATCACAGGAATTTATTAATCTGCTTTTTTTGTTTGTTTTGGTTTGTTTCTAACTCGCTTTGTTTCCCTTACCCATTCTGCAGGACAACTGTTTAGAAACTCGCATGTTCTCTTCTAGGCTTTACCTTGTCTTGCTCTTCCTCCCTCTTACTTTTATTTTTCCACATGGAAAAAGGAAATCAAGGCTATATAGGAACAAACTCTCTCAGTCTCCCTTTCTTCTACCTCAAAAGCTTATGTTTGCCCATTCATACTGGAGGTGAGAGATAATGTCTCTCCTTCTTTCTCTTATCCATGGTGCTCAGCACAAAGTAGGGCTCAGTAACGAATATACTTATTTTAGTGATTAAGATCAAATTCTAATAGTGATTTTATTATTAGAATTTGGAAGAGAAAAGAAAACATTGTTAGTGATGTGCTCCTGTGACACTGCTCAAATTAGGACAGAGAAACTGGAACCCAGTTAGAATAGAATGGTGGTCCTTATTTGGGGTTTTGAAATATTATATAAGTAAATTCAGGATTCAAATATACATCTTTAATGCCTCTTCACTTCAATATCCTATTACACAGTGTCTCTGTAAGTTCCCTTCATAACACCTGCCCACTTCAGTCCAAGAACCTGAGAACCAACTCAGAATGAGCTAAGCACATCCTAACATCCCAGATTCCTATATCCAGACCAAACAAGAGCCCCGTACTTAATCTAGGTGGGCTGCAGGTGTTGCCATGAGTTATAGGGTTCCTTTTGATTTTCAGGGTTCTTTAATCTTTCCTTCTACTGATAAAGCAGCTCTGGCGTGCTCCTGAATTTCTAAGAGCTTAGTTGCCTTGGAGTTCATCAGCACTTCTGCTTCTGGTCCTAACTACTCAAACGCAGACACTGCATTTTGAAAGCCCTGCTTGCTCTCTACTTAAAAGATGCATGTTTAGATGAAGTATCTTCAGCTATTTTCTCCTAGGACTTTCCATTTTCCCCGTATTGTTTCTTTTTTCTATAGGAAAATCTAAGCAGCCAAAGGGGGAAAGGGTATGTAGTGGGTAGAGATCTAAATGGGCAGCCAAGGAATTCAAGTTCTTAAATTCAGTTTTCTTTTGTGTTACCTAGTGAGTCATGCCACACCTGAGCCACACACACATTTTTAACATCGTATTCATGTCAATAACATTGCACATGGTTTTGTCTGCACTTGTCTTGTCTCTAAAAGGTCATGAGCCCTGAAGGCAGGAACTTTTCTATTTTTCTTGAAAATGGCAATCATTGTTCAAGCATGATTGCATAACAAACAATGATTGCACAGAAGTGTAACCCAGAATTTCTACTAGAATTTATTTTCTACATCTAGTCTCAGCTTTCTTGTAAGAGTTGATTTATTTGGGTGCCTCAGTACTCTGTTGGGGAACAGGACACTGCTAACATGTCAGTAGAGAAATATTCAGGCATGTGTGAGATTTTTGCTAAGTGCCTTATAAGTTCAGGCAGAACTTTAAGCTCTACAAGGTAGGTCCTGAAAACAAGCCTCTAGGGCAAATGAGAGTTGGCTATTGCCAAGGCAGCTCTAGAAATTAGTGGCATAGGAAGAGGGAGCTAAGATGTGTAGTGTTGGGTTGTACCCAACTTTAGGGAGGTTCAAATAAACTGCTTAAAATAACCTTTGAAAAGCAAGGGTTTTTTTATGTATTTTTTGGGAAAACGAGGTGGTTTATAGGAAGTGCTGAAATTAACACCAAGCCGACCAGCTACCAAGGCCATCCTTGGAATTATAATAGTAACATCTATGTTTGATTCAACATCTACTATCTTCCAGCCACATATTAATTATTCTACATATTTCATTTAATATTTACAACAAATCTATAAGATAGACATCATTGTTCCCATCTTACAGATGAGAAAACTGAGACTCAGAAAGATTAAACAACAAGCTCAAAGTACCACAGCTAGGAAGTGGAAAATGGGGTTTGAAACAAGGCTGGTCTGACACCAAAGTCTGTACTCTCTTAACTGCAACCCATTCTTACAGGAAGAAGTGTTGGAGATGCACCAAGGACCCTGAAAATTGCTGTCAGTGGAGGAGAGGATGAAAGGCTTCAATAAGGCAAGTTGCCGACTGCTGTCGTTAATGAGGGTGACGACACCACAAGCCAGTACTAGGAGGTACTTCTGGAAGCCACTAGTAAGGACCACCACACATCACTGCCATCAGAGGAGCAGCACCAGACTGGGAGTCTTACACCTGGGGAGGGGTCTCCTGGCCTCCCTATCACCCCAGTCCAAGTGCCCCTTGGCCTCCAGGGCAAGGAGACAGACCCATGACCTTTCGATGTGCTCTTTCCTAAAGAGGGCAAATAACAAGAGGGCAATAACAAGATCTCTCTTTGAAACCTGGTGAGGGCTTCAAAGAGAATTAAACTGTAATCTGAACTACAGATTACAAATTGGGGATACAGCCTAAACATGAGGATGTCCTAAAAAAAACACCCCACCCATAAAACAGAGAAACTTTCTGCAAACCTGCGTATTGATCATGGAAGGAGAATATAAGAAGGCTTAGACGAAGCAAAGCCTTGGCAAAAGGACATGAGAGATGAGAAGGAAGAAGAAAGAAAAAGAAGTGCTTGGGAATTATAAGGATAACCAAGGGTTAAGGGGATGTTAATATAGGAGGAAAAAAATGCCTCATTATCAAACTCCTGAAGAATAGAAGAACAAATCTTCTGGAGAGGGAAGTTTAAGAATTTCTGGAGAGGGAAGTTTAAGACCACCATGAGGGATAACTGAGACACCAAGAATGTTCCTTTAGGATAGGCATAACCTGTTAATAGAGGGAACAAACTGCAGGAAATGGGAGCACTTCGATCAGCACAGGACAGGGCCACCGGCTCAGGGTACTCAGTTCAGAAAGGACTCCTTCTGAAAGCCACTGAGCACAAGCAAACTTAAAAATCCACATGATTTTGGAGACTTCAAATAGCCAGTTACCTAACAGCTAATAACACTTGCTAAAAGAAACCTATTTTTTTTTTTTTGCTTAATTCTCCAGTACCAGGTTAAAGGATGTCCCCTCAAAATTCATGTCCACCTGGAACATCAGACTGTGACCTTATTTGGAAATAGGGTCTTTGCAGATGTAATTAGTTCAAATGAGGTCATATTGGATTAGGGTGGGCCCTACATCTAATGATGAGTGTCTTTATAAGGGAAAGGACAGGGAGATTCAGAAACAGACACACACAGAAAGCAGATGGCTGAGTGAAGACGGAGGCAGGGGTTCCAGTCATGCTGCCACAGCCAAGCAATACCAGAAGCCTCCAGAATATGGAAGAGGCAAAGAAGCATTCTCCCCTGGAGCTTTGGGAAGCAGCCTGGCCCTGTCCACACCTTGATTTCAGAATTCTGGTCTCCAGAGCTGTGAGAGAACAAATTTCTGCTGTTTCAAGCTATCCAGCTTGCGGTCATTTATTGCAGCAGCCCTAGGAAGCTAATACATCTTCAATTCTCTATCCTAAACTAACAATTTGAAGATTGGTACATTCATTTATTCCTAGGTCATGATTGTCCCTGCAATTGGTTGTGACACAGGTTCATCACAAACATACATGCTTTTCTTATACTGTTGAGGCTCCGTAGATATGTGTACCTTGCTTTAGCTGTTAATCTGGGGGGTAAAAGTGCAGGGAAGTGCCTTTCTTGTCTCAGTATACTAAGCTCTATGTGAGAAACACAGGGACGTTATTAGAGCTCTTTTGAACAATTTTCCTATACTCATCCTTCCATGTCTGCCCATTTAAGATGTGGCTCCTTGCTTGTTAAAACACGAGAGGACGAGTGGAACATAGCTCAACAAAACCAACGCACAACTCAATAAATTAAAAATTAGAACAAAAGAGAGAAGTGATAGCTGGAATCTGTAATGAGCTGGAAATTTTGTAAATCCCCATCACTTTTCTTCCTGCCCGTTCTTGTTCCTGGCACCCCGCTGTATGTATCCACCCAAGGCACAGGTTGCTGCCCACGTAAAAGCCCATAATCCCTCTCTGACAAAAGCTACGAAAGGTCAGCTAGCTCCTAAGGTGATAAGTTACCTATGGGAACGTTTCAGCCAGAGCTAGCAGTGGAGATGGAGATGATGTGATCATGCTGACATGCTCATGTGACAATGGGAGGACAGAGGTTATCTGCCTCCTATCTTCTCTCCTGCTGTATCCTCGTATCCTTGTCTCTAATGGAGAAGGCTCCCTTACTGTGACAATATATCCAACTTCTGAGAGGCAACCAAAATGAGCAAGGAAATGGCATCTTTGCCCCACAGGAACTCCACTCTCAAGAAGGTCAGGGTTCAAAGCAAAGCCTGACCTGCTGCTGTGCTGTCAAGGGGCCACAGCTTGAACGGACTTGGCAGCTAAAGCCCAGGAGATGATGGCAAGAAGAGGTCAAGTGGAATAGAGATGAAAAAAAGGGAAGAAATGAGTCAGAGGAGGCTTCTGGGAAAGAATTCACCCTTTACTGCAATCCTAAGTTCTTATGGGAACCACCATCTTCATATATGGCCTGGCCCTGCCGGCCACAATTGGCCAGGTCAGGAATGGATGCCCAGCCTATCTTGGAAGTTTCAAAACTATGAAAAAGAATCCATCTTCCTCAAGAAGCTGGACTCTGTGAGGTTCAGCAACTCACAGGGAAGATGTTTCTTAGCACATGGAAGAAGCCAGGCGGCTGCGAGCTATGAAAGTCAGCAAACAGAGAGGTACCACAGACAAGACAAGACAGGCT